AAGGGTAGGTTCGCCCACTCTCGGGACCGGCGCGTGTGTGACAAAAGGATCCCTATCCGGCCTCTCGCCGTTACCTGACCTATTCCATCTGACTCCTCACGTCTTAAGGAGTCTATATATGTGCTTTTTATGACAAAAGGATCCCTAGGTGGACCCCACGCGCCCACAAGGCGCGTCCAAAAAAAATCCGAAAAAAAATCCTTTTTTTTTAATTCAAAAAAAAAAAATTTGGGTCGGGTCGGTCTACTGACCTGACTTCCAGGGAGGATCTGGGTCCATAGACTCGAAACGCAGCGTTTCACTTTAAGTGAAACGCTGCGTCCTGGCCAGCCCAAATCGACGCCGTTTTGGGCTGGTCAGGTCATCCCTGACCTCCAGCCGGGTCGCCCCAGATCCGGCCGGAGCTCCAACGGGTCCGTCGCGACCCGCCATTTTCGAACCGTGATTTCTTCCTCCTCCGAGCTCCGTTTTATGCATTTTAGGTGTCTATGAACTCGTATTTTCGTGCTCTACAACTCTATGGGTTCATTTTCTTTAAAAAAGCATCATTTTTAAAGACCCAAAAAAATGGTTCGAACGACCAACGTTGGAGGCTTTAGAAAGAAGATTTCGGTCACGTTTTTGAACCTTACGGAATAACAGGTAATGTTTTCGAACTTCACTTATATAAACAGAGTGTGTATTTGAGTTTAAAACACAAGCATATAGAGTTCGAATTGCATACGGCATATTCATGATGCAGTGGAAAAAAAATGAGCGTGTATAATATATGCACACATATATTGAGAGCCTCAAGAACATCTCGGCTCTGATGCCATTGTAAGAAAAATATGAGAATGGATCGAAAACATACCAGTCGGATCTCGGGTCGGGTCGGTCGGATCTTCTTAACTCACGCTTAAGCTAGACTATAAAAGTCTAAGCTTTTAAGTGCACAGCAGAACACCTCTTTTGCAAGAAAGAAAATAAGAGAGAGAGATATATATAGTAGGAATGCTCTACTACTGGAGTGATTTGAATTGATGGGGGGAAGCCTCTATTTATAGCTTTTGTCAGGGATATTTTGGGTAGCATAAAAATATCCACTGAGCCCATCAGATAAAATCTGAGATAAGATATAATATATCCTTATCTCATAATATCATGATATTTGAATTTAAATCCAGAATCAATCACAATTAATTCTAAATATATATACTTAATATATATTTAATCTACACAATATAAATTAATTAAATATAAATTAATTAGATTTATATCGTAACCGATTGGATATCATTCAGGGTGTTTGACCAAGTCAAACATATCACAATATCGCTTGGATATTTGACTGATATATTCTCTTTATACCCGGTCAAATAATCCGGCCTATCAACGGCGGATCCAAGCCCAAAAATCTAACATCAAGATATTGAGTGCTTTTGTGAAAAATTATTCTGGATTCTGGATATTTTTTTGGGTTACATCAGGGCGGGATCGAACCCGCAACACACGCATACAACACACACCCACGCCACTCGGCCAAACGGCCAGTGGCGGATTCTGGATATTACTTAACTCTAAATATGAAATAATTTTCAATGGTCGCACGAACCCAAATTGGCGAATAAGGTTGATATATTTTCAACAGAAATGAATTGCAGACTATAAAAGTATATCTTTTCTTTTTTAAGCAGCAAACGCCTATATATATATATATATCAGGAGATGAAAACTACGTATGTCGATTGTGAAGGACCCCTATGCTAACTTGGCCTCTGATGGTCCTTTTATAGTCACTTCCTTACTTCTAGAGAATTTTTGTATTCTTATTCATAAATCATTACGCAAAATTTACAAAGAAATTAATTAAAATTTTTTTAACAGTGTCATTGATGTGAATATTGTTGGAAAATCATGATGGAGAAAAAGGGAGTGAGAGAGATAAGTAGATTAATCCTATAATTTGTTGCATTTACTTAAGGGTATTTTTGAAAACATGATTAATTTTAAAAACTTCAAGCTATTTTAATTATTTTGTTTTGTTTGATGAATTAATTAAATAATTTATAAATAGATAGCAGAGAATAACACTAATTCCAAAAGGACCACTTTCCTTGCCATTGGACAAAAATTGAAACCTACGGATTAGGAATTTGGGTTAGAGAGTTGAAGAGCACACTCAAGCGCACACAACCACATAATTCACACAAAGAAATTCAAAGTTGATGAAATATCCATAAGTCAAGTCAATTTGTTTCTATGCAAGGAAGATGCATGGGGGAAAAAATTCGAAAAACACAAAAAAATATCTAGCTTATTTATATAATATTTGTAGTAATTTTTGTTATTACTATTAGATCTGTTGTTGATCATAACCAATTCCCAATTAACATATTTTTTAACGTTACTAATCAGAAGTTGTTGAATATTCAATGTTGATATATTCAAATTTCACTGTAAAAGCATAAAACTACTCATAAATATTAGGGAGAGTGACATTTTAAGTCTCAAAAACACGAATGCATGACAAGTGCTAAAATTTTTTTCTAAAAATTACATTTCAGTCAGTAGTGTAAACAATAATCTCAGTCAGTCAGTCACTAACTTAAAGTTACATTTAAAACTTAGATGCTTTATTGATATGTAATTAAGATATCAGAATTTGCAATTATTTGAATTAATATTTGCAACTCATTTTTCAGAAAAATCTATCGATGACTAACTGCGATTAATTGAGTCATTTGGGATCTCGCTTTCATTCTCTTTGAGTATTATTAATACAATTGCGTATCATTAACTATTACCCTTTATTTTTTAATATAAGACCTATTTAGCTAAGTTGATTAAATTAAGAAAATTAGGTAAGTTAGTTAATTATTAAAAATATGACATATTTTTTTCTAAAATACCATAATTATCTTTCTTAATCTCCTCTTTCCCTTTGCTGATTGTGGTTAAGGAAGTATCAATAAGGTTAATTTAAAAAAAATTAATAAATATAAAAAAAATCTTACATTTAGGACCACTATCAATTTAATAATTAGATTCTACATTAAAGACTGAAGGAGTAGGATTTTTCTAAACTCTTTTAAAAGTAAAAAGGTACGCAAGTAGCACCAGGCAATTCCAAATACCATAAGGTAAAACAATACTTGCCACTTATATAAACCCCCCCGACTTTGCCAAAGTACTCAAACCACTGCTCATCTTAATTGGCTTGAATTAGAGATCTCAAGCTTGAGGTGAGTTGTTCATGATCTGTATTGCTTTTCTTACTTCTATTAGTTAACTGTTTTCTCTATTATGATATAACATAAAGGGGTAGCGTCTTTATAGAATTCAGCAAATCACATGGAGAGGGCACCACAATGGATCGTATGGTTCCTCTTGATCTAACTTTTGCTTAGTATTTGTGATGCAATGCTAGGTGGAAGGAAACTCACCACCAGCGACGATGCTGCTCGCCTTGGTAAGACCACAAAGTTTCCGTCTCATAATGTTCTATGTTCGGACTAAAGCTTATGACTCATCCAACCTTTTGTTTCAATGGTTCATAAGTTTACCTTAAATATAAAACTATCCATAAACTATTTGTGTCAACTTTTGCCGGCACAGATTTCATAAGCATTGACTGTGGAGCGAGTAGTGGATACATTGATCCACGAACTGGAATCTCGTATCAGACAGACACAGGTTTTGTAAACACAGGAATAAATTATAGAATAGCAGATGAAAAAAAAAAATTGACGTAGATTATCCTCTTTTTGGAAGACAACTCCAGACTCTGAGAAGTTTCCCGGAAGGAAAAAGGAATTGCTACACCCTGAAACCAAAACAGGGCAAAAACAACAATTACCTCATTAGAGGTTTCTTCGCATATGGGAATTACGATGCCAAAAATCAAACTCAAACATTTGACTTGTACCTCAATGTCGATTTTTGGGCAACTGTGGATTTGAATTTGACTTATCATGCTCAAGTTCTAGAGATTATCCATACTCTCACAACCGACTCCATACACGTTTGCCTTGTCAACGCTGGCACAGGAACACCTTACATTTCTACATTGGAACTACGACCTCTTGGCAATTCTATTTATCTAGCTCCATCTCCTCCTTAATCACTATTAGTACTTCATGCGAGAATCGATTTTGGTTCCACTGAGTTTATTTCAGGCAACTTTACAAGGTGACTCTAATCTTATATTTTTTTGTTAGTGTTATCTCTAGGTCTCTCAATGAATTATATATCTTTTTAGCTTGTCATGTTATGCATGCTTTCCTAAAAAGAAATTATAAAAATTTATCTAATACTGCAAGCATATATATAGGTTTAAGGATGACACCTATGATTGCTTTTGGCGTGTGGACGATATTTCCACAGTTGAAGGTTGGAAAGTGTTCAATAGGTCGAAAGATAGTGATGTTGAAAGCATTAACGATTCTTATAAATTACCGAAGGAAGTGCTTATGTCTGCGACCAGAGCACTGAATCTCTCCTCTGCTTTACAGCTTGACTATGAATCTCACTGGAACGAACCACTTGAAAAGTCTTTTAATTATTATGTCATCTTTCACTTTGTTGAAATTCAGAAGCTTCCCGCTGGGCAAAAGAGAATAATTGATATTACTGTCAATGGTCACAGTATCCTCTTAATGCCGATAACTCTTGAATACTTCAAGCCCGTGACAGTTACTACTGTCACAGATCAAGATGGTTTTTGTTTCAGCATAAGTGCAACATCAGAATCTGATGCTCCTCCGATCCTTAATGCCATTGAAGTTTATAAATTTGTATTGCCACCAGCATCTCCAACTGTCCAAACAGATGGTAGGCTTCTGTAGATGCCTCAACCATTTCCTATTTCTCTGTTATCTATGATCTCTATGTGTTGTGTGTGTGTTGGCTATGAGTTCTGAGACCCTATTTATTATTTGGTAACAATAGCGGATGCCATTGTGGACGTAAAGAACACATACGAAATCTACAAAGGAGAATGGCAAGGTGATCCATGTGTTCCTGAGGGATTTGCATGGAAGGGACTTGGTTGCCGCTATAACACCAATAACACTAACGCAAGGATTATCTCAGTGTAAGTATCTCACTGGTCGAATTAAAGTAAACATTCCTTAATGCACTATGAACTAGGTGATTAGTTCTACTCATTTCAAAATACTGGGATGTCTGACACTTAAATGACTTGGGTTAATTTGATGTTAATTATTGGAACGCGTCAATCTTGCATTATTTATAAACTATATACTTCTCAAACTTCACATCTCCTGGCTTTGTATCTATTAATCATCATCAAAAGCAGAAACTTGAGCGCCAGCAAGCTAAGAGGACAAATAGCTGCTTCGTTTTCACAACTTACAGAGTTCGAGTCCTTGTAAGTATATAATTAATGACTTAATTAGGACAAAACTGTGAGAATTTTGTCATACGTAAAATATTGATTTGTTTCAGGGATTTATCAAGCAATGGCTTGTCAGGATCTATACCGGAATTTCTTGCTAAATTACCAAAGTTGAGAGTCCTGTAAGTTTTACAAAATACCTGCGTTAATATTATTATTATTTTTTTTTTTGCCGGAAGATATACCTTTATAACTTGAGGACCCCAAGATAATTAAATGCATTTCACAACGTTTCTACAGTAACTTGAGTGGCAACATGCTTACAGGTTCAGTTCCCAAGGCTTTTAAAGAAAAGTCAGATTTGGAAATGAGGTTTCTCAGAACCTTTAGTTGCTCAGCTATGACCGCGTATTTTTTATTCATACATATGTATATATTTCCTTGAATAAATTAAAGTCAGTTTACAAATATTATTTTAATTTGGTGAGATTGCTGTATGTTTTTCATTGGCTCTTCCTTTTCTTGAGGCCATTAAGGGGAAAAAATTATAATTATTAGACAAAATAAAGTTACTGAGCCAAATTTAATATGTGATTCTAATTATACCCATATATAATTGGACTTATCTTTCAGTTTGGATTATAATCCTAGCCTTTGTTGGAGGGATCCATGCAAAAAGCACAAGTTCCTTATTCCACTGATAGCATCTGTTTCAGCTTTGACGATTGTAATCTTGATTTCTCTAGGAATTTAGATCTTCAAAATGAAAAAACTCAAAAGTACGCACAGAATGCTACTATTAGTTTGTATTATTATGTGCTAATATAACTTGTTCCTTGTATATAAAAAATATATATTTATAACAGTCCAAACTAGCAGTTCTGACTGTCTTCATTAATATTTGCAGTTTCTACGATGCAACAAACATCAGAACTAAGAAGTCGTGCTTTTTCTCACTCTTATGTCCTTGAGATCACTGATAACTTACAAAACTTGATTGGAGAAGGTGGATTTGGAAAAGTTTATTTAGGCACCCTTAAAAATTGTACTCAAGTTGCAGTGAAGTTACTTTCTCATTCATCAATTCAAGGCCATAGAGAATTTCGATCAGAGGTGAAATATAAAATTCTAGTAGTCTTATTTTGTTTACTCACGGTTTCCTTATTCTTTTGTCAGATATTTATTTATAATTTACTCTGTTAGTTCCCTATCATGTAAATGATAAAGTAAAATTTGAATTGCAGTTAGACATTTGGTTTCTCTGATGGGATATTGCGAAGAAAGTGGTGTCAGGGCATTAATATATGAATATATGGCTAATGGAAACCTCCACCATCATTTGTCAAGTATAAAGTTTTTCTTCCTACAGCTTGAATATTACACACATCTCAATATTTAATAGGCAGTTCATAGCAATCTCATTAACCGATATATCGGTATTAAAATATATCTATAGTAAAATTTATAAGTAGTGGAATAAATATGTAATTTTGTAAATAAATTTAAGGGCCTATATAAGAGAAATCTAAGCATACTGATTCTACAGGTAATAAAGCGCGTGAATTGAAATGGAAAGATAGGCTTCAAATTGCATTGGGTGCAGCATATGGTAAGAAAAGTTTTATATATAAGCAAATTACGGGATTCTTTCAAGTTCTATAGAAAAAGTAAAACATATATTTTAAATAAATCATATATGATATTCTAGTTGTGTATAAAAAAAATAAATTACATTTAGCAACAATTTCGTTTTCAAATGACAAACAATGATTAAAAATTATATTATTCGTTACGAATTGAGGTTATTCGTATGGCAAACTGGAATTGGGATTCATTCTTCTCTGAAATCAATCTTCGCAACATCAATACATAATAAATTTGATTATACATGTAATGAATCGAGTTGCAGGATTGGATTATTTGCACAATGGTTGTAAGCCTGCAATTGTGCATAGAGACCTTAAGGCCTCCAACATTTTGCTGGACGAGAACATGGAGCCAAAGATCGCTGACTTTGGATTGTCTAGAGCTTTTGCAAATGATATTGATAGTCACGTCTCAACTCATCCTGCAGGCACATTCGGTTACCTTGATCCTCAGTAAGTATTTTATTTATACAAAATATACCTTCTCATTAGTATACTGACGTGATGTAATCTATGTAGTTAATTCTGTCTAATGAAACAAGAGTTGTTGTTGTAATGCACACACGGTTTCTCATCAATTATGAAACCCGTCAAATTAGTTTAAGATGGCCATAAAGAAGAAATTCAATCCACTACACAGAGAATTGTAAATGAACACTAATTTAAATTGGAATAGTAAATGAACACTAATTTAAATTGGAATACAGATTAATCTCACTTTAATACATCAATTTTCTGTTTTTTATTTTTTTAATAGGATGAATTATATATGGACGACGGTTAAACCAAATTTTTATTTGGAAAGAACTCTAATGAGGAGGATAACTCTCTCACTGAAATTCGTTTTTAATTTTTCAAACTCAATTTGAATGTATATGATTGAATACAAAAATAATAAATGGAGAGATATATTTTGAGATCTATCTGACAATTGTTTTTTTCTTCCCTTGTAATAATAACAGATTTCAAAATTCTGGAAACCTTACAAAAGGAAGTGATGTTTATAGTTTTGGAATAATTCTGCTGGAACTGGTGACTAGAAAACCAGCAGCAAAAAGACAACCAAACAATACCTTCATTCTTCTGCTTGAATGGGTCACCCCTAAACTTGGAAGCAAGGATATCCAGTCCATTGTTGATCCAAGGTTACAGGGACAATACAGTATTGAATCTGCTTGGAAATTTCTTGAGATAGCCAAGTCATGTACCGCACCAATCGCAATTCAGAGGCCTGACATAAGCCAAGTAGTAGTTGATCTAAGGGAATGTTTGGCGATGGAGATAAGAATGGAAGGGACCAATCACAACACTAATTCAAGCTCTTCCTTGGATATGAGTGCTAATCTGCAATTTGATTCAAGCTTCGGTGCTCCGTCTGCTAGATAGATAGATACTTGCTTATATTTTGAATTTATCTGGTTGTGGTTTGCAAGATTTGATGGCAGTATATGATGAGAACTTTTGCCACTAGTTAAGTTGAGAACCTAGTAAGGACATCTGTAATGTTATTATGTATGAAAGTATAAATTTGGTGAGTTTGTAAACCAACTCATTGAATGAATATTTTTAGTAATTATGCATAGAAAAAACTTACGTCAAATTTTTTGTATAGATTATGTCAAGTTCTCTAATCATATATAAGCATATGTTCTCTTTTATTTCATGTGAATTTATAATTAAATTCTAATATATCAAAAATAAGAAACTCTATTTAATTAAAAGCTATTTAATTACACTGGTTCTAATCTTGAATAACGTAAGAACTCTATTTCCTAAACATTCTATGTAGAAAAATTGATAAAATTTTTAAAGAAGTATCTTCTTTAACGCTCGCGCTCACTCGATATGTATTCTTCCTCCGGAATCTGTTTGACGCTCTCACTCTCACCCCCGAATTCTAAAGGAGACAACTACTTTCGGGCTCAACCACGATGCTTTAAAATTCCGTTTGTTATGAAACATTGAGAATTGAGAATGAGAAATAAAGATTGGGACTGAAATTAAAAAAAAAACTCATTAAAACACATGTAGTATAAGAGATTGCTTGTTATTTGGAATTGGACAAATCTATGTAGGTGGGATCAGGCAATACTACTTCCCCTCATGGTATTTCTCAATCTCATCTATATGTACTTATTTAGTTTCAAGTAATAAGTAATCTCTCATACTAAACACCTCAATCCCAATTCTAATTGTTACCTCACATTCTTAGCTGGATCTACTACAGGTTATAAAGCATCGAAAATGAGGGTTAGAAATTGGAACTAAGATTGAGAAAATGTATTAAAAGAGTATTTAGCATGAGAGATTGCTTATTAAATAGGATTAGGCAAACCCGTGTATGTGGGACTGGGAAATACCATGGGAAGAGATAGTATTTCCCAATCCCACTTTTATGGGTTTGTTTAATCCCATGTAATAAGCAATCTCTCATGTTAAATATTTTTTAATAATTTTTTTCAATTACAACCACAGTTCTTATCCCTTATTTTCATTGTTTTATATCAAATGGGATCTAAGTTCTTCCATCAACATGTTATATAACATTAAATATATAACAAGTTGTACTATTTTTAAGTCATAAACATGTGAATGATACAAATAATTTTTCAAATTCAATGAAAAGTAATGTATGGGGAGCATATGACTAAATTAAACGTATTTTTGTTTTGCCCAGCTAATTTAACTTGAATAATATACTTAAATGAATGGGAAAAAAATACAAACTGTTTTCATAGACCAAGTTTTTTTTTTTTCCGCCATCGTTTTCTTAGACCAAGTCAGCCATATATATCGTCGCACGGTAGATAAAAACGCTTAGGCATTAGGAATTTGGATATGAGAATTCACACACACACACACAGATATAATTATCACAAGTAAATTCGAAGTAATGAATTAAGATAGGCCTAAGGTTGCCGTCCTTCATAATTTATTCACTCAGGAAGCTCGCGTCGCGAATATATAGTTGAGGGATGGCCTAATCTTCACTTGAAAGATGAACCGTAGAGTGTTTTCGGCTTCTTGTTGGATCATATATCAAAGCCACAATTCATGGCTTGCTCAGCTGATCAAATTTCCATCATTCTAGTCAACTAGTTTTTGCTAATGTTTATCTACAGTTCGTTTTCAAAAGTAGCTACGGATTATGGCCTTATGGGTCGTATCTAGGATCCGATGTGATATAATAAAAGGAGAAATTCATGTAGGTTGCTTAGCTAATGACAATATCTATGTGACATGCGTCTTCATTCCAGTACCTTAACCAGCTTTTTATGGACTTGGATTCTCTCCACTACCTTCCCATCCTCTTCCTCTCCACTACCTTTCTTTTCTCTTCACAACCATTGGATCAAAATTCCAATGGTCCAGATTTAAGATCTTATAAAAATAATGTTATTAAAAAAAATAAATAAATAAATTTAAACTGTTAAAATCTGGTCTGAACAGTTTACAATTGTAATAAAAAAATTAAAAAAATTTACTTTATAATAACAGTCTGTAGTTATGAACTGTTCAGATTAGATTTTAACAGTTTAAATTTATTTATCTATTTTTTATCATAATATTTATTTTTATAAAATGTTATAACATATTAAATCTGGACCATTAGAGTTTTGATCCAATGGTTGTGAAGAGAAAAAGAGGGTAGTGGAGGGGAAGAGGATGGAAAGAGTAGTGGAGAAAATCCAATTCCGCTTTTTATACCCTCCAGTTGCGACATGAATGTACTACCTCCAATCCATAATATAAAAGATAGTTAGAAATTGAATTTGGTTCTAAATATAATATCATAATTTATGTTATTCTCAAAATTTATAATTTAATTTATCATAACATTGGCATCAGAGCCATGATGATCTTGAGGCTTTTAATATATATATGCATATATTATTCTTTTTTTTTCCTACTGCTGTTAATAAACCCATATATCATTCCAATTTGATGTGCTTGTGATTTAAACTCAAATACACACTTTGCCTATATATTTGAAGCTCGAAAACATTTCCTGTAATGTCGTAAGGTTCAAAAACATGATCAAAATCCATTTTTCAAAAGCTCTAACATCGGCCGTACGAACCAATTTCTGGGTCTTTAAAAATGATTTTTTTTTTAAAAGAAAATAAAACCATAGAGTTGTAGAACACGAAAATACGAGTTCATAGACACCTAAAATGCATAAAACAGAGCTCGAGGGTGGAAGATATGGAGGTTCGAAGCTGATAGGTTACGACGGAACTACCGGAGCTCCAGCTAGGTCTGGGGTAACCCGACTGGAGGTCAGGGATGACCTGACCAGCCCAAAACGGCGTCGTTTTAGGCTGGCTAGGATGCAGCGTTTCAGGTCTGTTTGACCCGGATCCTCCATGGAGTCGGGCCGATAGACTAACCTGACCAAAAAAAATTTTTTTTAAAATAAATTTTCAAAATTTTTTTTGAAATTTTAATTTTTTTTCTAAGACGCACCAGGTGGGTGCGTGGGGTCCATCCAGGGTCTCTTTGGTCATAAAAAGCACATGTATAGACTTCTTAAGATGTTAGGAATCAAATGGAGTGGGTTCGGTGATGGCGAGAGGCTGGAAAGGCAGTGCGTGTATGACATGCGCTGATCTTGAGAGTGGGTGACCCTCCCCCTTTATTTGTTTTTTTTTAAAAAAATTTTGGGAATGCTTCTTGGGGCGCGTGAGGGCTTGTTTTTGGACCTCGTTTGACCTGAAATATTTGTAAAAATCATGAGCTACAAATTGATATATTATATGCTTTTTTTTATGACTTTTTGGGCTCGAAAAATAGCAAATAAATGTTTTAAATATTTATTTTTATATTTTTCTTAACCTAAATTTTTTTTTTTTTGGGTTTAGGAAATGGCAAACTCAAATTCTAACCACTCTTTTGAAATATATCCAAGTTATTCTCCTCATTTTGATGCTCCAAAGTCTTCAAATAATTATGCTCAACAAAGTACAAATAAAAGAAAAACACCTCAATCACGAGTGAGCTCTAATGTACCTGAGGGGAGCAGTGGTAAAAGGAAATGTATTCCTAACCAACAAGAGGAAGAAGTTTGCAGGCCCAAGGACATTAATTGAATAAATAGCACAAAAGCATGCTGATGAATACAAGCATAAAAAATGTCTGGCTATTATGCTAAATAAATTATCAATGAACAAGACACACTCTTTTTCTCAAACATTGTAATCCAATACAGAGAGGAACTGGCAAGGAGGAAACACATATTTAGTGAAGGATTTTTTAAACAAAGTCTTTATAGATGCTGGAAAAACATTAAAGAGAGTTTGAGAGAACCCATGATAAAATACATCATGAACGAATGAGTTTTTGTTCGTGTTTATTTTTCCCTTTTCATTTTATGTTTACTCTTTGAGACTTTATTTTTGGATTATCCAAATCTTTGTAAACATTTATGCTTTGTTAATAAATTTTTTTTTATTATTATAAATTTTTATTTGAGAGGGAGTTTCATGAGGAAAACTCAAATTGGGGATATGTTTAAGAAAGGTCAAAGATAAAAAAGGTAAGAGGCTAACCAGGAGTAATGGGATGGGAGCCAATCTAGTTGTCTCCTGATCATGAAAATGGCAAGACTCAGATGATCTATGACCTACGTGAATAACGTGTCTATTGCATACCATACTAAAATGCATTGTTGTCTATGTGATAGCACGATGTCTCAAAGAGGAATCAAGTCCATTATAGCTAACCTTGTAGGAGGTGACAAGCTGAACAGAGACAATTACAGCATGTGGTGTTGTAAGATATCAAATGTCCTCGAAGAACAAGAAGTCACTGATGTGTTGACAACTTTTCTTCCAGAGCCTGAGGCAAATGCAGCACAAAGGGAGCAGGACGGGTACACGGCCTAGAAAAGAAGGGATACTATCACCAGAATTACCATGCTAAGTGCCATGACTAACGATGTGTTGATGCAATTCGAAACACACCCTTTCGCCTCTGCCATGTGCGCAGTATTGATATCCGAATTTCACAGTACCTCTACTGCAAGCTTAGGAGACTCACCGTCAAACTTGACAATTTGAAGCTGGGTCTTAACACTCCCATAAGGCATCACCTAAGGGCAATGTAGAACTTAATCAGGGAGCTTAAGGAAGCCGGAGGCGCATTATCTGATGAGCAATAGATTCAAGCTATCATGAGATCTCTCCCAGCAAGTTAGGACACCATGAAGCATACCATTACTCATAGCAAAAGTATAAAAATCTTTGCTGATGTAGCTCGCCACCTCCAACTAGAGGATGACCGAATGGAAACTGTGAACCTATCGGTAAGGCATATTTAACTAAAGGAAACGGAGGGGTAACCTCCCAAAATCAATCCAAGAGAAGCAAAGGCTCTCAAAATAAGAA